GCCCTGCCCAGCGCCCGGCCCCGCCTGCCCGGCCCCAGACCCCACTCCCCCCGCCCTGCTATAGGGACGTTCTAATTCAGCAAATTGCCCCACTGTGAGGGGCACACGTCTGACACCTGCTCAAGTAAACATCCAGAGCTTTCGGGGAACGCTCTTGAAACAGGATGTTTTAAATAAAGGGGTGCACTCACCCCCTAAACAACATCTGGTGTTGGGCCGTCAGGCGCCCCAGGGGTCTGGCGCAGGTGACCGAGGAGCCGCAGACCCTGGGCCAGCTGGCAGGTAACTCAGAGCGCAGCGGGGAGCCCCGCGAGGGGCGGCCGCCCCCCACCGTCCCCCCACCCCCGTGCCCACCTGGGCACGTGCGCCTGCCCACCGGGCGCCCCGAAGGCTCCCCGCAGCCCGAGCCCGCCCCTGCGCTGAGGGGGGCTGCACCCCTCCTCCGTGCCACCCGTGGTTAACGTCGGAGAGCCGAGGCGGCAGGGAGCCCGCCGTGCCTGGCACCGGCGTGGTGATGCCTTGGTGTTGTGACCAGCCACGGCCCGAGCCGGACGCCACGCTCCTGTGCTGGGGTCACGCTCACACGGGGCAGGGCGACGGCCAGGCGCCGTCAGGCCGGCCGTGTGGTAGCGTGAGCACGGAACGGCAGGGCCCTCACCCGGCTGCGAGGCCGGGGTGAGGAAACTGCGGGGAGGGGTGTTCCCAGCAGTCGGGGCGCCCGGGAGTCACTGGACCTGTGCTGGAAACCAGTCTGACCCACCCGCAGCCGCCCAGGCCCGCCCGGCTCACGTGCAGGCCTCCAGGAGCTGCGGCCAGGCCGCGAGGGGCTGGCCTGTCCACCCAGGCCGGCCACACGCCCCAGGGCCATCTGGGAAGCGTCTCGCTGTGTTCTCCCTTAAGGCCCCAGTTAGGTCAAAACAAGTGACCGCTCGCTGGCCCGGGAAGGAGGTTGGGGAAAGTCCTGCAGAAGGAGGCCTTCGCCCAGTTCTTCAAGGGAGAGTTGGGGGCGCCGAGGGCGGGCGCCCCAAGAGCCCGAGGCCTCCCCGGAGACCCCCACCCCAGGTATGCGGAAGCCAAGCCCCCGAAGGCCCTCAGGAGGGCCTCTGCGGCCCCCCGAGAGCAGGCCCAAGGTGGACACCCTCGCGGCCCGAGACCCAGCCCTGCCGTGCCAGCCCGAGGGTGGCCGGTCCAGTGCTCACCGTGCTGGCCGCAGGGTGGACCCTGTCGCAGGGCGCCGCTTCTCCCGTTGCTGCCCCTCGCCCCCTCGTCTGCGAACACCCCGCTCTGTGGGTGCCCTGCAGGCCCCAGTGGGACAAGCCAGAGCCGCTGGCCCCTGCGCCCCACCCAGCTTGCCTGGGTGAGGCCTCGGGGCTGACAGCTGACTCCATGCCCAGACTCTGGGCTGGCCGGGGACCCGCCTCGTCAGCCTGTGGCCAGCGCACAGGGGACAGTGCCCGGCTGTTTGACCTGGCGCCAGAGGGAGGGACCGGCTGGCCGAAGCCCGCTGCAGTTGGGGAGCTGAGCTCCGGAGGGCCGGGGTGCGGGAAGGCAAGGGTTCTGAGGGAAGGGGGGTGAGGCCGCAGAGGGCCACAGCGTAGCTGGTGACAGGTGCCTGGCTGCTCTTGGCTGTCCTCCAGCAAGGAGCCCCCACCGGCCCTCCCGACCTGGGGGCTCCTCCTGCCCCCCAGGGTAGAGCTATGGGGATGGGCCTTGTGGGGTCTCCCTTCTCTCCCTGAAGTCACAACAATCGGGCACTGCCCTCCCAGAGAGCAGGCCACGGGGCAACCTCTGCGCAGCCTGGGCACCACCTCCTTTCCCCAGGCTCTCTCCCTCTGCAGGGCAGCGACTCCTGCCGCCGGGACCTGCACCTGCTGAGGCCTGTCCATACTGACCCCTCTGGGAGGCCGCACCCTCAGGGCCTCCCACCTGGACCATGCAGGCCTCTCCCGTCCCTGGGGAGCCCTTCCTGCCGCTGGTGTCCGCAGAGGCCCTGGCTCCTCGTTCTCCCTAATAAACCTGCTCTTTGAACATGACCACCGTCTGTTGTGGAAATGCCTGGGAAGCGCCAGAGCCGCCGGGGCCCTGGGGACGCCTTTCCCAGCGTGACCCCAGGACCCGGCACCCAGCCCCACTCCCTCCAAAAGCTTCTATCTTATTTTAAAAAATGTCTGTTGTACACTTCTCCAAAGAGGAAATGCGGACAGCCAACAAGCACATGAAAAAATGTTCAACGTCGCTCGTAATAAGGGAGATGCAAATTAAAACCACAATGAGATACCCCCCTCACCCCAGTGAGAACGGCACATCTTCAAACAACCAGCAACAACACATGTTGGCGAGGATGTGGAGAAAAAGGAACTCTCCTGCACTGCTGGTGGGAATATAAACTGGTACAACCACTGTGGAAAACTGTGTGGAGGGTCCTCAAACTGCTGAACATGGAGCTTCCATAGGACCCAGCAACCCCACTCTTAGGATCTGCTCAAAAGACATAGAAACACTGATTGAAAAAGACACCTGCACCCCATGTTTATGCTGCTTTATTCACAATTGAAAAGACCTGGAAACAGCCCAAATGCCCAGAAGCGGATGACTGGGTTAAGAAGATGTGGTCCATGTACACAATGGAATATTACTCAGCAACCAAAAAGATAAACACATGCTTTTTACAGCAACATGGATGGCGCTGGGAGGGATCACGATGAGTGAGATAAGCCAGGAAGAAAAGGAAAAATACCGGATGGTTTCACTCAGAGCAGGAGCAGGGACCAGGGAGAAAATAATGATGATGACCAGCTACAGACCAGGGACACTTTACGGGGTGGAGCGGGGAAGGGGTCCAAAGCAGTGGGGGGAGGGGAGTGCACGGGACTGTGGTGACGGCACAGGGTGATGTGACGGGAAGCCCACGGGGGTTGCAGCTGAGACGGAAAAAGGCACAAAGTGATGTAAAAATAAACTATTATTTATTAAAAAAAAATGTCTGTCGTAAATGGGGCCCAGTGCACAAAGGGAGATGAGATCCCTGCTCACCCCCACTTTGTCCGGGCCACGCCCAGAGTGGAAACTGGCCTCGCTACCGGCAGATGCTACTTCTGGGCCCACAGCAGTGCACCCACAGCGCGCCCCGCCGGGCCCCGCCAGCCCCCTTGCAGCCTCACTTTCCACGGCCATTTCACGGCGCCCCGAGATGAGCTGTGAGGAGCGGCAGCACCTGCAGACGCCGCAGGTGGTCTCACGTGGTGGCCCCGCCTGGCCCCTGCGCAGGCCCCACCGCGCCCCCCGCTAGGTGGGGCACCTGTGGCAGGGGGCACAGGGCAGGGGGCACAGGGCAGGCGCCTGCTGCCCGGAGGGAGGCCCGGCAGCGCCCCGCCCCCTGCAGCTCTGCTAGTGCAGCTTTGGACAGGGTTGGGCAGGAGAGCGGGTGCTTGGGCTCACCTGGGGAGCCTCCCGAGCGCCCCTTCCCACCCAGGCGTCTCCCCGCACACCAGCTTAGTGATGTCCAGGGGGCAGCCGAGTTACAAAAGGAAGGAAGGGTCAGGAGAGCCTGAGGACACAGGAGGCCCAGCCCCAAGGGACAGGCCAGCCAGGGCAGGGCTGCGCGGCCTGGGGGCAGGACCTTTGGCCTGGCTGGGGTCTCTGCAGCCCTGGACACCCGCACGGCCACCGCGGGGCATTCTCAGGTCTGTGGGGG